AAAAAAAAAAAAAAAAAAAAAAAAAAAAAAAAAAAAAAAAAAAAAAAAAAAAAAAAAAAAAAAAAAAAAAAAAACTAGAAAAACTAAACAAATAGATCTTTGAACTAGTAGAATAAATCTCAAAAATTACTTTAGACACAAAAGACTATAATTTTTATAGATTGTATAAAGTAATCAAGAAAACTAATCATAATTATTGTAAAATTTTCATATAGAAGAAAAGCACATGAGTTTAAAAAAAGAGGATAATTAGTAAAAATTATGTTGAAATACAATGAAAATTCTAAACAAATCATTAAAAACTATACCAAAGGACCATGTACAAGAATATTTAGTACAATCTTTCAGTAAGTATTGCAATCAAAAATCAAATATTATAAAGTTTGATTTTTATTTTTATTTATACTGATATGCTTAATATTTTCTTATAGATGGGTTTATCAATATATATACTGCAACACTTTATGCGTACCAAATTACCCACCTCCTTTGAAGACTTTGAACAATTCGCTAATAATCTAAAAGACCTAATGAATTGACTGGTAAATGACTGAAAATGGATATTTTTAGATATCCTATCAAATATATTGTATATAATAACTAACCACTCTTTATTATTACAAGTTGATGTCTTGTCAATGGTCAGGGGAGTAAATAAAGCAATCGTAGTAGATAATACAAGAAGAGAAAATAATCTCCATTTAATTTCAATTGAAGATACACCATTAAAAAAAATGAAGACGAAAAAAAATCAAACTTTACTCTCATATCTCTAATTTTCATGTCCTGTTGGATCACCTTCAAAATTACCATCATTGATTTAGAAAAGATAGATTTGGAGAATTAGTTTGATTTTTTATACTACAGCGTGTAATTTCTTTTATGGTAATATGAAACAGACTCAGTATCTTGCTAAGGGAATGGATTTTTTTTTTGCATGTAGCATATACTGTATAACAGAAATCAAATTTTTTATCATATTGTTAATCATATATTATTTATCCGAAGTTGACTTAATACCTAACTTAGGCTTTAAATTTATTTTTGCTTGTGTGGTATGGGTGCGTGCATCAATACTATTAACTGTATAATTACGAATTTTCTAAATCTTGAAATGAACAGGATTTATTTAACTAATGAATATTGGATTTTATGCGTGCATGGGAGTGTGGTATTGTATATTTCGTCCATAGTTCGTTCTTTCATAATTTGAGAGACTTCGTCCAGGTTTATGAAGATCGTGAGGATAGAATAGAAAGAGATTCACGCAGATTAGTTGTTTCTTCGATTCCTAGACAAGATCTCAACAATGCATGATATTTGAATAACCGAATCAGACTCGACAGGCCGAAAGCGAGTCAAATCCAAATCCTACCGGCATTCACTGATTGTAAAAGAGGGCATATAGATAAGACTTTATCGCAGTGTTAATCTTGAAATGTATGAGCGAACAAAAGTTAATAATCAATTATTTTATTATTTAAACTTGTCGTGTGCCCGACGTGATCAAGGATCCATTACATGATGGAGTATAATTTGATACTTATATAGCAAAAAATTCAAAAGAGGTTTGCTGAGGTTGAGGCTGAGAATGCAAAGCTGAAGCAGATTATTGAGAATACAATGCATGACACCATAGTCAAGGAACTAGAACAAAAGAATACAAAGATTGAAGCTAGACTTGCGATATTGGAATAGGCTTCCTTTGTTGTGGATAGTCAAACACAGAATGGTAAGGAAGCGATACCAGAGGCATGGTTATCTGTAGATAATTCAGTGATTTATCTAACTCCGTAGTGGACCAACAAAATAATGCTGCCAAGACAATGGAGGGGTATCAAAGGTATCAGATAAGGAAATAGATGGTTTTATTTCTGAAGAATCGATGCCCAAGATGACACCTGTCACTTTATCTCAGCCTCATCAAAGATATCCAAAATCATTAGAAGAAAAGGAGATTAATTCTTTCCTAAATTCGAAAAACAAGATGAATAGGGAAAAAAAATTTAGAATTCAAGAGCCTCCTGTAATATCCCCAACATCTTCTGAAGAGGAAAGCTCAACGTTCGAAGCATCAAACGTTCACAACTCACTCAGGATAGAAAAAGAAAACCAGAATGAAACAAGTATGGAATATTCAGTAAACATTGTTTCTGACATTGGTAATTCTCGATCACTATGTATGAAAGGACAAAAATTCCATACAACCAGAAAGTGGAGCAAGGTTTGAGACATGAGCTATTAGTTTTTATTAAAGACGATGATATAAAAAAACATAACTCATTTGATATTCAAACACCCAAATTCCTTCTTGAGACGATTTTAATGGGATCTAATAAAATTACGACAGAAAATATAACTGATTTATTTAATGTAGCAATAAAGGTCAGGCAAAAGGAGAATCTATTGTTTCTATAAAGCATATGAGGATCAAGTTGAAGACTATAAAGCTATGAAAAATATCGATGAACAATCAGCTAGAACATTGGTGTATAACGAAATTAAATTGCTTCTTCTCGACATTACTGATGTAAAATTACACACTATTTATGTGGATGAGGATAGATAAGATCAAACTAATTACCTATAGCGCATACCTTATTTCATGTTTAACTGATGCTCAAATTCAAGATATTGAAATAGTTTCCCCAAAAAGCATACTAATATGAATAAATGCCAAAAAGTGATCGGTGTTACGAAAAGTAATGCGCACGTAATGAAATTATAACAAAGATGATATATCAACTGCTAAACTGTCTCATACGTCTAATTCGGAAGTAAGGATGACAAATCTTTATCTAATACCTTGGTAAGTATCTCTATTTCGAGACACAGGTAAGCGCATCTGATAGTTCTTTAGACTCGGAGATTTCTCTGATAACAACAACGAATATGGGATAAGGTCGTTATCTAAAAATCAGATGATAGACCTTAAACGCATCACAATTACGTCATATCATAACATCGTTTTATTTTTTGAACGCGTTTTCTGACGCGTTTCTTCTCATGACGTAATTTATTTA